GAGAGAGAGAGAGAGAGAGAGAGAGAGAGATAGAGAGAGAGAGAGAGAGAGAGAGAGAGAGAGAGAAAATGTACATGTAATGGTCATGAAAATTGTTAATTCAATGCAGGAATCACATATATTAATAATAATAGGGAGATTTTTTAAAATAAAACTCTACAGGGTTGATTTTTGTTACTTATGTATGTTAGTATATATGGCTTAACAACGTGAGCATTCAAGAGATATAAAAGACGGTTCACGTACTAGTGTATCGTACCTTGCGTAACAGCACGCGATTCTGAATTACACATATAATATTCAAGAGGTTGCATATGATACCTCACGAACCGCGTGTACCTCGGTAACGGGTTTCTACAAGTCTAGAATATAAAATTTGTAATCGGGTTGTATTTTAGATCCGATTTCGGTTGATATGGCGCTTACGATAGTACGTGATTCGGGCGACGACTTATCAGATTTTTGTCTTGTGTGTATTTCCCTGTGGCGCTGTAGACGGTCACTGAATGTAAACGTGGCACCACAAACTTCACACTTGTACTTGTAAGGTTTTCCTCCTGTGTGTGTTTTCTTTTGTGACGCTGTAGATTGCCACTCTGTGTAAATGTGGCACCACATACTTCACACTTGTAAGGTTTTTCTCCAGTGTGTATTCTTTCGTGATTCCGTAGACTGCTATTACATGTAAACGTGGCACCACAAACTTCACACTTGTAAGGTTCTTCTCCTGTGTGTATTCTTTTGTGATTCCGGAAACTGCTACTGCATTTAAACGTGGCACCACAAACTTCACACTTGTATGGTTTTTCTCCTGTGTGTATTCTTTTGTGACACTGAAGACTGATACTACATTTAAACATGGAACCACAAACTTCACACTTGTAAGGTTTTTCTTCTGAATGTGTTCTTTTGTGACTTTGTAGACCACTACTGAATGTAAATGTGGCACCACAAACTTCACACTTGTAAGGTTTTTCTCCTGTGTGCGTTCTTTTGTGACACTCTAGATTGCTACTCTGTGTAAACGTAACACCACAATCTTCACACTTGTAAGGTTTTTCTCCTGTGTGTGTTCGTTTGTGACGCTGTAGATGGCTACTTTGTGTAAACCTGGCCTCACAAACTTCACACTTGTAAGGTTTTTCTCCTGT